CTCTAATTAACTATATATGTTTAATTTTTTTATATGATATCGAAGATTGATCATACAATAGATGGTTTAACATGCCAAAAATATTATATGCTAAGTGAATATAATATGATCAAGTATTACAAGTACATCATTTAATAAAATAAATAATCAACAACCGGAAAATCATACCCGCGCTGGCGCGCGGGTCAAGGTCTAGTATGGTTTATAATAAAACAAGTGCATATGTTATAAAAAGATACTCAAAATCATTCATACGTTTAAACTTGTTTAAATCCAGCTTTAGAACCTATTCGATTTTTCTTATGCATCCTTCTCAGGCTATGGATGATTCGGACTTGAAACCACTGGAATAACTTCAAACGTAAAACGAGCTTCTTGAGTTTTGTCGAGTTCTCCATAAAGTATCTAACCAAATCCAGTTCAGTAGCTTCTTCCGTGACCGGGCTTTCCATTTCAACAGATTCAAGAGACGACACTAAATAACGAGGCAGCACAGTGGAGAATTCAGACATCATTCTCACTGGAACATCAAGAAACAGTTCCTGCAAAAACACAAATCGACAGAATTTAAAAACTAGATAAGAACTTGCAACACGTTTTAAGCAAATTATTACCAATGTCAAGTGTTAATTTCAAGTTCGGGCAGGTCTCAAGAACGATTGGCAACAAATGAAGCAATGATTTTAAGTACACAGTGGCACGTAAACGGGCCAAGCCATGAAATTTGGGGAGTGGATCTTTATGATAGGAAGTATATATAAACTATTAAGCAAAAGAGAAGAGCACCAAGTGAGAAAATAAAAGAGACACAACAATCTTATATATAATAGTAGACTTTCAAGACTTCTAAAGGTGTCCACGTCAGCAAATTAGTGGGCCCCGCGTGCATTTTAAAAACAACATACTCTTGCTAAAATGTTATAAACAGTGAACAACGTATTATCCGAGTGGTCCAAGGCGCCTCATTTAATCCGCACGGGGGTGGGTTCGAAGGTCACTGCTCTCTCATTTT